AATACACGCTTCTCAATACAGCCTTCACCCACTGAAAGCTGGTGATCGAGGTGACACCTGTTCACCACTCTCCCCAGCCTTCAGATCTAGTCTGATCTCGGCCCTGGCCAGGAGCCCAGCACACGGTGCAGGTCACAGGAAAAAACATTTGCTGAGTGAGGGAAGGAGCAAATGGTAACCACTGAATGAACAGCACCGGCCAAAGCCAGTCACTCTAGACCTGCTTCCTTTGTAGTAACAACATGACAACAACAATAACAGTAATGTCCCAGTGGCTGAAGTTTCCCGCGGCCTCCAAGGCATTTCAGCAGAGCTGAAGGACCACTCTGGGAGGTCATGTCCCTGAGGCCACACACTGCGTGACACAGTCAGGACCTGACCCTGCCTCCTGGCCCAGCGCTCTGCCCCTGACCCCATCTCAGCTTGTTGTTTACCATCTGGGCCAGCTGGACTGGACCTGGGCCTCAACTGGGGACATCACAGGTGGCGAGGGCAGATCCCAGGGACTAAGGTGGCAGTGGGTTGATTAGGAGCTTCTTCACCCTACTTGAAATATTAGAATCGCAGGGGAGACACAGTGCACCCCCTTCTTTGTACATGTCGGCCGGGAGGGGGTGTCGTCTAGAGAGCTTGGCTGAGATGGGTCTGCACAGTCCAGTGTCAGAGCCCCCAAGATGTCCTCTCTCCCCGCATCCTGTGAATGCATAGTTGTTTATTTAGTGCTTTTTAGAATGCGAAGCCCTTGGAGGGAGGGACCCCAGGCACCTAAGGTAAAATTTGGCTCCAGAGGGGTGCTCAATAAACACTGGATGGATGGATGTAAGGGAAGGAAGACATGAGTGAGTAAATGAGTGGATGGATGGATGGATGGATGGATGGATGGATGGATGGGTGACTGTCCCCTGCACTGGGAGGCATCCAGTGACACGGGCAGGGAGGAATAGAGGATGAAATCTGAGATGTGAGCAGGCAGGTCACCCCAAGGATCTCCCCCCTCCCCAGCATTTTCATTAGGACACATCTGCTGCACCTGGCCCCTTGGCCCCTGCCCCGGAAAGATATAGACGCCTCTGCCGGCTTTATTAAGGACGGATTAACCCAGTGCCTTTCAGACCTGGGTTATAGAAGCCAGCTCTGGGCAGGGCTGATGATGCTATCACCGCAGACCTTGGTTTAGAGCCCCAGACGGGCTCCAGTGGGGGCAGGGGGCTAGGAACCTAGGTCACAGCGAGGGCTTCAGGGCCACACAGGTCTGCCTGCTTTAATCCTAGTTCCTCTGCTAATTGGCTGTGTGGCCTTTGGCCGCTCACTTGCCTTCTCTGAGTTGACGCTCCCTCACGTGTAAAATGGGCTAATAATGTGCTTGTTTGAGAATTCACTGAGCGAACGCATTATATCACTCAGCACAGAGGAGACACTTGCCATAACCAGTAACATCCTGAGGACCCTCTGGAGCCAGGCAGGGCGGAACACACACCCACATCAGCCACCTGACCCTCTTAGGATAGGCAGGTGCGGTAACCCTCCCTAATTTATGGATGAGCAAACTGAGAATAACAGGGAGATTAAGTCACACAGCCACACAGCCGGGAGGGGCCAGGGCCAGGATTCAGACGTAGGCACTGGACGTCACAACTGGGCAATTTCCTCCCTGGCTGCTGAGCAGGAACAAAGCCTGCGCCGGGTGGGTGGGGCTGGAGAGGGGCCTCTTCCATCTCCAGTCGCCCCCCCCCCCCCCCCCCGCCGGCAGCGCCTTGAGGTGACAGCACAGCAGAGCAGAGGGGGAGCTGGATAATAACAGAGATTTACAGTTTCCAGCGCAATTAACTGCACCATCTGGATGCCACACGTCCACCTGGGTGTGTTAGGGACCCCAACCCTTCGGCATAAGTGGCAGGAAGGGACAAGGGGGCTGGGAGAGCTGTCGGGGGGCTGCCAGGTTGGTGGCAGAGACTGCGTGGGGCCCACCTGGCTCTCCTTGAGCCGCCCCCCCCCATGTGCCCCTGAGATCTTTCACTAAGGGAGCTGGGTCCCTGCCAGTTTCCGAAGAGTCCAGGATGGTTGAACCCAAGGAGGCAAATGCAGAGGGGATCGTGGCCTGAGCCAGGAAAAGGTCAGAGGACACACAGTAAGAGCAATAGTGACACAAACACCATGCCTGTTCTCAGGGGCTGCACGACAGTCCAGGACTCGACCACCTTGTGTTCTGTGCCACCTTCCAGCCTTGTGATCCCCCAGCAAGTGGCTTCACCTGTCTGAGGCCCTGTCCTCTCACCTGTGAAATCAGGACCATCCTGGTACATATCATGGTCGTCCTCAGGAGGGCTGTTTTGAAGCCTAAATTGGGTAAGGAAATGTACAGACTCCGGTGTAATGCCTGGCACAGAGTAATTCACCACCAGCGGTTGTTGTGATTATTGTCCCATTTACCAGAGGGAAAAACTGAGGCCCAAAGAAGGTAAGTGACTTGCCCTGGGCTGTACTGTGGGTTGGTGGCGGAGACTGTGACAAAGATGGACCTGCCCTGAGATAGAGCCAAGCCCAGAGTCTCAGGCCTCCAACGTGGCAACCCTGGGTCACACCAGGGAGAGTGGTAAACCCCTTCCAGCTCCAGTAACAGCTGCCCTGTTCTGAGTACCTACTCCATGCCAGTTGCTGCTAAGAGCTTTTATACATCACTTCAAGGAATGATCACAACGTGGGAGGTGGGCATTGCACTGTCCCTATCATCCAGGTGCTTAAGCTTCAGGGGGGCCCCAGCTGGGATTCATCACCGGGACACTCTGGTTCTGAAGCCCTGGTTCTCGGCACCAGCTACCGTCCTTGGGCAGAGGTGGGGTCTTCTCTTCACTGTAGCAACCACTCCCAACTTCTGTGTCTTCATTTCCTCCTAAAAAAAGGAGAGGGCTAATTATGATGCCAAGTCAGCCAGGGTGGACCTGAAGTCTTCCGGACATCAGACAGAAGCTTCCCCTTCAGGGCTGAGGACCCTCTCCCCCATGTGGAAAGGGGGCGGGAGGAGGGAGGAAGGAACATCACCCCATGCCCCCCAATCTCTCCTTAGCTCTGTGGGGTCTGAGTGGCCAGATCCCCTCGGCCAGCAGGAGGCAGGGAGCCTGGGGTGGGGGGGAGCAGGCTGGCTGGGGGCAGGGGGAGAGGAGAGCAGTGGGAGGTTTGAAGCAGCTTCCTCACACACTGGCTCCCTACATTCCCATCTGGTCAGCCTGGATGCTGCAAGTCTGAGTCCACCCCCGACAAAAACAAAAGCGCACCGTTTCCATTAGAGAAAACCCCAGAGACATGGGCTGCGCTGCTTGCCTTCCCTCTTGGCCAGTGTGACCACGGCAGGGGCCAGGAAAATGACAGCTGTCCTGCCCAGGGGAGAGAGGTCCCAAAGTCCTTGGCCCCAGGCCCGCTCCGGGCCATACCCTGGGGACCAGCCCCGAGGGCCAGGGGCCCACTTACAACCCCTGCCTTCGAGGAGCTCCGGGCCATACCCTGGGGACCAGCCCCGAGGGCCAGGGGCCCACTTACAACCCCTGCCTTCGAGGAGCGGTGCCAGATGGGGAGGCTCTGGCTCATGGCCTCTGCCCCAGCTCCGCAGGCCCCGTGACCTGTCCTCCTGGGATCCCCTGGCCTGTCCATCTGAGATGACCCTTCCCCCTTCCCCGCAGAAACCCAGACCTCTGACCCTTATTAAAAACAAACCAAACAAAATCTGGAAAGAAAAAAATCCTCCACAAACAGCCTCAGAGATGATCGTGTGTCTGCCCCAACACACATACACACACACACGCACGCACACACCAGCCTCAGACGTGCACGGCTGCAGCCAGGCTTTCGCGTAAACAAGTTGTTGGAGAGTGCTTTTGTTTATGAAACATTTAGGTTTCCCTCAGCTTCCTTGGGGGGTAGAGGGTGGACTGTTTCATAGTTTTCCGGCGACCAGGAAACGGAGAGGGAGCCCGGGGTTTGGCGGGATTTCATTTCCCCCTCAGTGCTCTCTGCCGGGTACAATCCGGGGAAGGGTACGCGAAGAAAAAAAAGGGGGGGGGCCTTGGGCATCACCTGGCAGAAGTCCCCCACCCCCACGGGGAGGTCAGGCTCAGAGAGGGCGGCAGGCAGGCCCGGGCTCCCCTCGGCGACCCGGAGGACGCGGCCCGGCGCTCAGAAAACATCGGGGACGCTGAGTGATACGTCCCTGCCCCCTCGGCTCCCGCCTCCAGCGCCAGGAAACCGACGAATCGGCCAGGAACAAAGGCGGGGCTGCCTCCCAAAGGCGGACAACAAACAGTTTTGCTTTTTTTTTTTTTTTTTCTTTTCGCACCCTAGCGGGCGGCCGAGCAGCTTTTGGGGTCCGGGCGCCGCCGGGGCTGCGGCGGGTGCCGCCGCGACGCCCGCGCGGGGCAGGCCCCGGGGCGCATGCGCGGGCCGGGGCGCAGGAGGCCGCGGCCGCCCGCGCAGCCTCGCTCGAGCCGGTCTCCGTGGCAACGGGCTCGCGGGGGGGGGAGGGGCCGGGCGGCGTGGGCTGCGGCGGCTGCTATTTCTGCCGCTTCCTGTTCCTCGCGGCCACGTCGCCATGGCAACGGTGTTACTCACCGCGGCCGCTTCCCGGCTCGGCTGGCGCGCGTGACCCCGGCCGCCCGCGCCCCCTCGTCTCTCACTTGCTGCGCTGCCGCTCTCCCCCCGCCCCCCGGCGGCGTCCTCCTCCGGCACCCCGGTCCATCCCGCGCGCCCCGGCGCCCCATCCTTCCCCCTGCTCCCCGCCCCTCTCCGCCGGTGCCCGCGGCCCGGGCGGGAGGGCGGAGGGAGAGGCAGATTGATGGGGGACGCTTATTAAAAAACATTGTAACCGTTTCCGTTTTTATTACGTTGACAAGGGAGCGTTATTTACTGTTATTGTTTGCCGAGCGGGCCGCGCCGGAGCGCGGGCGGCCTCCCGGGAGCTCACCTTTCGGGCGGGCCCGGGGAAGTCGCGGGTGGGAGCGGGAGGCGGGGGCGGCGAGGGGGCGCCCCGGGCAGACGCGGCCCCCTGGGGGTCGTGCCCCTCGCCCCTTCCGCCGCCAGCCCGGCCGACACCCGCCGCGGGGCGTGTGTGCGCGCGGGGAGAGACTGCAGAGGCCGGGTGACTCGTGCTGAAGGAGAAAGGCAACAAAAAATAAAAAAGGAACAGATGACTTCATTCTCGGGAAGGCTCCGTCCTACGTGGACCAATTTCCTGGGGACACAGCTCGGCTGCCGTTGGAAGCACTTAAAACTAAACCAGATAAAGACCAGAAAATTCTCAGCATTGCCTGAGCCGATCAAGGGCAGGTTGGTGGTGCGTGAGCCCTGGGTGTGCAGGGAGGAGGGTCCATTCCTCCACCCGCGCTGGGGGCTTGGCTTCCAACACACACCTCCTCGCCTCCCCACTCAGACTCCCTCCAGTACCCCGAGAGGGTGAGCAACTGTCCCAAGGTCACACAGCCAGTTTTTTATTCTGCTTGGACACCCGCAGGGACAAACCCGGCAGAGGCTGGGGAACGAAAGCCAGTGGCTGGCCTGGGAGCCTTGGAAGAGGGTGAGGCTCAGCTGGACGCCCAGCAAGGGAAGATTAACTCGGCAGGTCTAAGCTCTGGCAGGCCCGGCTCCTGCTTAGCGCTCTGGCAGGCCTGGCTCCTGCTTACCGCACTGGAGCCTTCAGCTGGGGGGTTTGTGGGAGGTGTGTCCCCAGGGATCTGAGGGGCCTGAAGGATGCCCCCACCCCCCAAGCCCCTGCTGGGATGCTAATCTCATCCTGCTAATTAAAGTTTGCAATTCTGTCCCTAACTCAACTCCCCACTCTTGAACGTTATTAGCTGAAAGGCAAACAATTGGTGCTCCAGACAGAAGCCAGAGGAAAAAGGCCTCTGCAGTTCACATTATAAAAAGGATTTTAAAAAAGATGTTTATACTTATAAACAAATGACTTCTAATGAACAGGTTTTGGAAACTTAATTTTCAGAGCCCCCCCCACCCCCCACCTATTTCGTGTTTTTATCCCCCTTTCAAGGACACAAGGCTTGGGATTTGGTCACCGCAGCCTCTCCTGGTCTCTTGGCTTTAGGTGATCGACCAGGGCTTTTCCAGGCCCAGGATCGCCTCTCCAGACTCCCCGGGAGTCTAAAGGGACAAGCCGGTTCCCGACTAAGGCAAGATAAAGTTATCTTCAGCTCCGTTCCCAGCAACCACCAGTTCTCAGCTTTGGAGCCCTTCCTGAATGCATGAATCAAAAGCCTTGGGCTCCAAGAAAAGAGAGTTACCCCCCCCCCCCCACTCCCCAGTCCTTCCCCAGTCCTTTACTGCCAGCTCCATGATATGGGAAGGTAGCACCGCCCTCCACTCCTCCCCCTGGGCTGGCCTTCCAAGCAAAACTCATCTCTGGCCACAGGTTTAGAGTTTAGCTGATGTGAGAGTCCTGCCCCTGGGCAGTGTGTGAATAGGACTGAGATGACAGATGACACCCAGCATCATCCAGAGGTAGGAGGACCTTGGAGATTATGCAGACCAACCACTCCTGCGTCCCTGTTTTACAGGTGGGCAAACTGAGGCCCAGAGAGGGGAAGAGACCTGACTGAGATCTGCCACTGGTTAGAGGTGTTCTTGCCTTCCATTAGGGTGCCTCACTACCCCGCTCTGATCCTTCTGTGGAATTATCTGTACGGATCAGAAGTTCAGGAGCTGGGGGGCAGGAGGCTCTGAAGTCAGACTGCCTAAGTTCAAGTACTTACTTCTAAGTGAGACCTGGGACAAATGAATTCTTCTCTCTGAGCCCCCACGGTCTTGTGTGTTAAGTGGGGATGATGGTACCAGCCCTGGGTTGTCTTAAGGAATAAAGGTGGTCCAGGAAAAGTCCTGGGACTAACACCAGTACATACTAGTACTTAACTAATGTTGGCAAGGATGCCGATGGCGGCGGGGGGTGGGGTGGGGAATGCTGGTCGTTGTAGTGGGTTGAATGGTGGCCCCCTCCCCCAAAGATACGTCCACATCCACATCCCTGGAACCTGTGAATGTGACCTGATTTGGAAAAAAAGGTCTCTGCAGATGTCATGAGGTTAGGGATATTGACATGAGATCATCCTAGATTACCCAAGTGGGGCCTCAGCGCCATCACAAGTGTCCTCATATGAGACAGAAGAGAAGAGTGGGACACCCAAGGGGAGAAGGTCAAGTGCAGACCGAAGCAGAGAGGGGGGGAATGCAGCCACAAGCCAAGGAACACCTGGAGCCGCCCGAAACAGGAAGGATTCTTCCCAGGGTCTTGGGAAGGGACACAGCCCCGATGGCCCCTTGATTTTGGCCTTCTGGCCTCCAGAAGTCTGAGAGTAATCTTGGTTTCAGCTACCAAGGTTGTGGTCATTTGTTCTGCAGCCCCAGGAAGCCAATACAGTGGGGATGCTGGCCGGGAGGCTGGCGTGGTGGCCGCGGGGGCCGCCGTGACAGTGTCCGTGATGACGGCAGTGTTGGTGATGCGGGTGGTGGCTGCATTCATTTCCTGGGGCTGCCTAACAACGTACCGCAAACCATGCGGCTTAAAACAACTGGAATGTATTGTCTAAGAGTTCTGGAGACCCGAAATCCAAAATACGACGTCAGCATGGCTGTGTTCCGTCAAACGTGCTGGGGAAGAAACTGCTCCAGGCCTCTCTCGGGGCTTCTGCAAGGGTGTCCACACTGCCCCTTTCTAGAAGGACACCAGTCATATTGGATGAGGGCCCCCCCCCCCCGCCGATGACCTCATCTTAATTTGATCACCTCTGTAGAGACCCTGTCTCCAAATAAGGTCACATTCTCAGGTGGGGTGGGGGGTAGGACTTCGACATATCTTTTTTTTTTTTAATTTATTTAACAGAGAGAGAGATAGTGAGAGAGGGAACACAAACAGGGGGAGTGGGAGAGGGAGAAGCGGACTTCCCGCCAAGCAGAAAGCCCGATGCGGGGCTCGATCCCAGGACCCTGGGACCATGACCTGAGCCGAAGGCAGACGCTTAACAACTGCGCCCCCGAACAGTGGTGCTGGTGGAGGAGTGTTGGGGTGGGGTGGTGGTGACAGATGGGAGAGAGAGAGATGGTGATGGGATGAGGCCTCGGCCCTGGACTCCCAAACTCTGCAGGAGCTTCCTGGGATAGACCTGCTTGCTGAGAGTTGTATTCCGGGGCGCTTCAGGCCTGGGGGAGCTCAGGGGGAGCAGGGGGTGAGGAAGGGGGACTCCCTCTGCTTCTGCCTCCTCCCTCTCACAGAAGAGCAAGAGCTGAGTCAGCCTGGCCTTTCTGCGGGAGCCCCTGGCAGAGGCAGACCCAGCCCCGACCCCAGAAAGCCAACTGGTCTCCGGCAGAAGACAGGCAGGGTCAGGCCGCTGGTGTTTTCCTTACCAGACAGAGTTACATTATCTCCCTTCTCAGCCTGGCTCTCTCTGGCTTTCGAAGACGAAGACTGATAATGGCCATAGCCCTTGCTCATTCTTCTGTGTGTCCGCTTGTGAGCGTCAGGGAACATGAGCTCTTGCCACCGTCCCGTGCGCCGGGAGGCGGTGGGCAGCAGGGCCGGCTTCCCACGTTTGCGCTGCTCGCATTCTAGGGAAGAGAGCGACAAAGAGCAAAGAGACAGGCCCATCCCAGGATCCAGGGAGGCAGACAAGTGAGAGAGGGAAGGCAAGCAGGGTGAGGGGCCGGTCTGGAGTTCTAAAACAGGGCTCACTGAGGTGAGGAGGTGACCATGGACCCGGTGCAGTGAGGGAGTGAGCTCCGGGAGAGGTCCGCAGCACGGGCGGTGGGGGGTGGGGTGGCGGGGAGGGGGCAGCAAGTGCCAAGGCCCTGAGGTGGCGCGTCCTGAGCCCTAAGGCAGGGAGCAGAGTGCACAGGTCACCTTGAAATCTCAGATTCTAGGTAGGCCTAGAAGCCAATGCAGGGTAGAAGGCAAGAGCGAGCCCAGGGCTAATTTGTGTGGGTTTTTGTTTTTTTTTTTTTAAGATTTTATTTATTTATTTGACAGCGAGCACAAGCAAGGGAAGCGGCAGGCAGAGGGAGAGGGAGAAGCAGGCTCCCCGCCGAGCAGGGAACCCGATGTGGGGCTCGATCCCAGGACCCTGGGATCATGACCTGAGCCGAAGGCAGACACCCAACCGACTGAGCCACCCAGGTGCCCCTGATTTGTGTTTTTTAAAGAATTTCTGGTTTCCACGAGCAGAACACAGACTGCAGGGGCTGGAGAGAAGCTGATGGAGTCGAGGCAAGAGATGGTGGTGGCTGGGGACAGCAGCGGTGGGGAGATAAAAATGGCTGGATGTGGGGTGTATTTTAAGAAAAGCCATCAGGATTTGCCAAAGGATGGGCCGTGGGTGTGGAAGGAAGAAGAGTCGAGGATGACTGTGTCATCGTGAACAGTGGGAGGTACCATTTCCGGAGATGAAGAGCAGTGGGGGTGTGGTGGGGAATCAAGAGTTGGCATTTCTGAAAAGCTTCTCTGATACTCCTAGAGTGCACACTTAGGGCTCTCACACACTGCTACTTGGTCCACATAACCCCTGAGAGGCAGACTCTACTGGTAGCTCCCTTTCTCAGATGAAGAAACTGAGGCCCAGGGAGGCTAAGTAATTGGCCCAAGCGTGGGAGCTGGTAAGGATACCATCCAGGTAGTCCAATTCCAAAGCTCATTTTCTCATTTGTTCAATTGTTCCTTCATCTGCTCATTCATTCATTCATTCATTCACTATTGTGGGTACTATATGCTGGGCCTTGCTCTAGGCTCTGATAACGCAGCGGTTCTTTCAAGCTATGCACTGGGGAAGCACTGGGGAGGCACCGGGGAAGCACTGGGGAGGCACTGGGGAAGCACGGGGGAGGCACTAGGGAGGCGATGGTAAGCAAGCCAGATGCAGGCCCAGCCTGCGTGGAGCTGACTCTCTATGGAAGAGATAGGCAGGTGAGGAGCAGAGAGAAGCCCGGTGACAAGAGGCTCACAGATGGTGCTAAGCGCCGTTGCAGAGAGTGACCGTGTGCTGATTCAAGGCCAGGAGAGGGGCACACACTGCAGAGAGCTTGGGGCTGTCTGGGAGGAAGGGAGACGGGTCAGAAGCAGCCAAGCCAAGAGCAAGAGGAATGGTGTTCCCAGCAGAGGGAAAGGCAAATGGAAAGGATCTCTTGGTGGGAGAGTCGGTAGGGGAGAGGGCCAGGGAGTAGCCAGGGGGCTGAGAGACCAGCCACCGGGAGGAGGCCACCTGGTCCAGAGGCAAGTGAATGGGGAAGAAAACCAAAGCAGAGGGGTGAGGAGGGCTGGCCCCACAGAAGCAAGCAGCCCTGGGACTCTAGGAAGGACATGGAGGGAGCATTGACTGCCAAACCGGAGACGTACGTGTGCAGGCCATGGCCCCAAGGGAGACCAGGGGAGGGATGGCCCAGACCCCAGGACTGAGCCCCGGTCAAGTCATTCACTTGCTCGCTCACTCATCAGACCACTAGTAACACCTCAGTGCATCCTACCCGTCCTGGGAGGCAGTGGGGAAAACGCCCAGGTCCCTCCCATCAAGGAGGGTGAAGATTTGTAAATACATGGAAAGTCAGATAGAGGTACGGGTGCCATGGGGAGCGAGGAGGCACCGCCAGCCCGAGGAAGAACGGGTTTCCCTGTTGGAGCTAGAACAGTAACTCCAGCTTTGGGGACCGAGCCCTGGTGAATGCTCCTTAAGTCTCGGGGTCCCCCCCCTCCTGGCAGTCACGGGCAGGCCCCTAGTGAAGAGGGTTCTCCGAACCTTTGCCCCCCTGCCCTCTTCTTCCCACACTCAGCCCTTCCTCCTAGCCCTTGGCCCTCCTTTCCTTGGTCAGCTGCCCATCTGGGGGCAAAGCCAGATCCACAAGCACAGCAACCGCCCAATGCCCAGGGGCTTGTGTCGGAGCCAGGGAGAGGTTTAAGGCCACTGCCCCCAGCCATGGTGGGGGGAAGGCTTAGCTCCTGCAGGCCCTATCCCTCTCTCCTCCCCACGACTCCATCTTCTGTCTGGGCACACAAAGGGTTGGGGGGTCAGGGCCCAGGAGCTCCAGGCCCCGGAGGCTGAACACTTCTTGTGGGGCAGAGGGCAGGGCTGCATATTTAAAAAACACAACTCCGGGCAGATAAAACAAAACAGCTAAGAACAACCACTCCCGTTGAAACCCTCAGCTGAGCTAGTATTCCCAGACGATCTCAGCGCTGCCGCACCCCCATTGGGGTTACTCCCATTAGCCCCCTTTTATGGGGGAGGAAACAGAGGCTCTGTGGGTCCAGTGACTTGCTCGGGGGGCAGAGCAGGACTCCGGGCCGATGACATGCCGCTGGGGTTGGTGGAATAATGGAGAAACGGGGGCGTCAGGTGGATGGGCCCAGCAGTTCCCACAGATGCCCTCACAGCGGCCCTCGGGGCAGGCAACTGCGTTAGCCCCACGCTAAAGCAGAGCCCTGGGCAGGGGGTGGCGGGGGGTCAGTTACCCCCAGCGTTGCACAACTAGTGAGATTTGAACGCAGAGCTGTCGGACTCCAGGGCCCAGGCTCCTGTGAACCTAGAACAGAAGGGACGAGGGAGGTGAGCGGCAGGCCTCACCGTGTCCCCATGGTGCCGAGGTGCCCACAGCGCGTGGAGGACCAGGCACCTCCCTGGCCGCCCCAGTGGCCAGCACAGCCCCTCTCACCTCACACCATTTCACTGTGACAATCTGTGCTACCCCAGCCTGGACCCAACTGCCCTGCCCTCAGGGCTGCCCTCGATGGCCCTCGATGGCCGGTCCCTGCACTATGATGACGACCAGGAGGGCACTCTGCGGATGCCGGCCTTCCAGAAGCATTGGCCCGTGCAGAGGTGCCCCTTGCCCCAAGGCCTCAGAAAAGGCAGCCGCAA